CGCTGCCCTGGCCCAGTGCTACCCAGCGGAGAACGACTGAGATGGAAAGAGCGATGAACTATTTCGAGCCGGCCGCGGCGGGGAGCCCCGTGGGGAGCCGGCCCGGGATGCCCGCGGAGCCCTGGCTCTGTGTTGACCTAACCAGTGAAGAAACAGCCGACTCCCGTAGTTCTAAAATCTCATTTTAAAACACTCACCAAGAGGCCGGGCGTGGTGGCGCACGCCTGTAATCCCAGCACTTGGGAGGCTGAGGCAAGAGGATCGCTGTGAGTTCGAGACTAGCCTGGGCTACACAGTGAGTTCCAGGTCAGTCTCAACTACATAGTGAGACCCTGCCTCAAAAAAAAAAAAAAAAAAAAAAAAAAAAAAGCAAGAAGATGGGAGCACGTTCTCTTTCATTACGTGGAATATTGATGGATTGGATCCAAACAGTTTACAAGAAAGGGCTCGAGGAGTGTGTTCCTATTTAGCTTTATACAACCCAGATGTGGTATTTCTACAGGAAGTTATTCCGCCTTATTATAGCTACCTAAAGAAGAGAGCAAGTAGTTATGAGATTATTACAGGTCATGAAGAAGGATTATTTCACAGCCATAATGATGAAAAAAATCGAGTGAAGTTAAAAAGCCAAGAGATCGTTCCTTTCCAAGTACTAAAATGATGAGGAACCTTTTGTGTGTGCATGTGAGTTTGTCTGGAAATGAACTTTGCCTTATGACTTCCCATTTGGAGAGCCCCAGAGGGCATGCTGAGGAAGGAACGAATCAGTTAAAACTGGTGTTACAGAAAATGCCAGCGGCTCCAGAGTCTGCTACAGTTATATTTGCAGGAGATGCAAATCTAAGGTATAAAGAAGTTACTAAATGTGGTGATTTACCCAACATTTTGGATGTCTGGGAGTTTTTGGGCAAACCTAAGCATTGCCAGTATATGTTGGACACCCAGATGAACTCTAATCTTGGAATACCTGCTACTTACAATTTCGTTTTGATAGAATCTTTCAGAGCAGTAGCAGAAGAGGGACATATTATTCCCCGAAGTTTGGACCTGCTCGGGTTGGAAAAACTACACTGTGGCAGACTTCCCAGAGATCACTGGGGTCTCTGTGTAACTTAGATGTAATATTGTGAATACTTTTCAAATGTGAGTCTTCAATGTTTTGTATGGAATTTTGCAGGTATAATTTCTACCTATCTGGAAAGGTCAATTTAATATGGAGAAATTGATACTGTAGAGTGGGTTATTATTATAGAAGAAATGGTGAGGGGAGGAGGGGGTGAAGGGAGGGCAGAGGTAAGGGGAAAAAATGAGAATCAAGACTTGCCATGTAGAGGTACATGATCCCAACAATGAATGTAACTGTACTGTATCCCTAAAATGTACCAATAAACTCAATTAAAGCTGAAAAAAAAAATAAAGCAAATCCATAGGCTTCAAAAAAAAAAAAAAGAAATGGTTATGATTTTATGTTGTAAATTGTGCCCTCAGAATTCGGAATCAGTGTTTATTTATTTATTTTATTTAAAAACATTTTTTGAATTGCTGAGTCCATTAAATTGCCGAGCTTGGGTTCGAACTTGAGATCCTCCTGCCTTAGCCTCACAGAGTAATGGGATCATAGGCATGCACCATAGGATCAGAGTGTATTTTAAACTAAGGCATACATGTATGTGTTCAGAATGTGAAGCCCTTTTAATGAAAGGATATGACCTTAAACTGCCAGTTGGATTTCAGATAGGGCCCACATTGTCTGGGAGCTAACATTTCTTTTTTCAATCAGGCACCAAAATAATATTTTAAATGTCATCAAAAGAAAAAAAAAATAGGAGCCTGTGATTTACCTCAGTGGTGCTGCTGCCTGCCTCACAAGCACAAGTTGGATCCTCAGTACCAGAAATAAATAAGAAAAAGAAAAAAAGCTTACTGAGTTCTTGAGACTGAGTCACAGTTGTATTTCAGAAATTTAGATAAACAAAAAAGCCATGACGACTTGCAGTTAAGTAGATGACAGTAATCCTACAACACATTTAATTTTTTTTATCAGCCAATAGTGCATAATCAGGAAGCTACAAATGAAACCGTATGATTTAAAATACCTAAACTCTTTTTTGATTAATTTTGGTGGCCATGTAACCAAAGTTGTGCTTATCACGATTAAAATCAGTTTTATAGCATGATGGGACTTTTTTTAAAGGGAAAAATAAATGCATAAGGATAAATAGCCTTTTAGGCTTGCTACTTGTAAAATGGAAATATTTTACAGGATGTGAATAAAGAGTACCTTTTTCATTTCCCCCTCCCCTTTTCTGTGTGTGTGTGTGTGTGGTTCTGGACATGGAAACCAAGCCTTTACACCCATGGTCACACACATACTAGGGAAGAGCACTTCACTGAGCTATATAACCCTACCTCTATAGACAGTACTTTCAGATGTGTTTTAAAGAAAATTCCCCTCAAAAGAAATGTACTATAAATAATTTTATGTGTTTATAAAAATAAATAAATTATTGGAGCCAGGCATGGTGATGTAGGCCTGTAATCTCAACACTAGTGAGGCTTAACCAGGAAAAATGCTGTGATTTCCAGGCCAGCCTAGGCTACATAGTTCAAAGCCAGTCTTCACTGTATAGGGACACTGTCTCAAAAAAATTACTGGCCCTGTAGCTTTTCCAACTGATGCAAAAACAAATCCAAGTGCTATTCTTACCTTGTTTGAAAGCATCATGCCCAGCCAAAATTTGGACCTGCAACTTTTCCATGTGGCGGAGGTTTGGGAATTCCTCAGGAAGAAGAGATAAAACATCCAGTCTACTTCCAGATTCACAAATAGTTCTCTCAGGCATGGGAACTTATCCATGTTAGGGAAGATTTGGTCTGCAAAGCAGCATAGTTTCCCATTATTAATCTAACAATTTCCAAATGGAAAAATCTGAAACCATCATTTTGACCCATCAGCTACTTTCACATTGTCAGATGAAGACCATCAGATACCATGAAACATGCCTTTTAGCAAGGACATCTGCAATCATTTATCACCTGGGAAGCCTGTGCTACTGTGCACTTACAAACGTAAGACATCTTCTCCACCAAAGGTGTGGTGACCACTGGGTCTGCAAAGGCAAAAGCAGCAATCTGGACTCCTTCCTACCTTAGTGCATATCAAACTGATTTAAATACACCAACTATTGAAAGATAAGAGCTAATTCTTAAATCAGGCAACCCTTAGAAGAAAACATGGGGGCAAATCTTCATGAAATCATAGAGAGAGAGAGAGATGACGAAATAACAGAATATTTTTCAAACAGGTATGCTAAGGGTTTAACATCCATAATAACTACAGAACTGACAAAGGTAAAACAAAAAAACTTAAAAATGAGCAAAAGGCCAAGGATTTAGCTCAGTGGTGCTGCCACCTGCCTCACAAGCTCTAGGTCCTGAGTTCAATCACTGGTACCAAAAAAAAAAAAAAAA